TACAATTTAAAAATAAACAAAATTTATAACCAGAATATCCGATTCAAAATATCTAATATTCTTTTACTTTTAGATTTCATATAATTTTTTTTATATATCTCTATTAAATTCCTATACCGGTACATAAAATCCATATACATATGTATATTTACCTACAGCGGATATGCAATTTAATTGTCATAACCTAAAATGATAAAAATACTAAAAGGAAATAAGTATTAAAATATATAACAAAATATTTATGCTTTTTATGAAAAATATATGTAATACTTATTGTTACTTAATTACTGATATTATAAAAAAAAAAATATTGTAAAAAAAATAATTATAATTGTACATTATAATGTCAAATATACAAAATTTTTCAAAAATTTCCTACCTATACTAGGGTAGTATTATTTCTCGTTATACAAATTGTACAGTTATTTTATGAATTTTCTCTCGCCCTAAAAATTTTTTTCTTTTTTAACTACAAACACACATATTATTAAAATTTTCATTATTTATCTTATTGCTCTGATGTCCTTGCAAATCATTTGCATAAAATATTAAAGAAAAAAAAAATAAATAAAAATAATAACAATCCTAGCAAGTATGCATGTACATAAATTTATGTATAAAAATATACATAATTTAAATATATAGTACATATATATATATGTATATATATAGTAAATATATATATATTTACTAAGCTTTTTTATATATATAAATACATGCATAAATCTGTATTTGATTCAAAAGGTTAATAGTCATACGCGAGTATTTTTCGCTACAAACATAGATCTATGTACATATAAACAAACGTGTATAAACAGTAATACAAAACACATGTACTTGAATGTAAACATGGAATTTTTGTATATTTTTCATAATCATAATGCTTTAGATATATACATGGATATGTATATATCTACCTATACCTGTACATATCTAAATAAGCTATACTGTTAACCTACTTATTTTTACATTTTTTATTATTTAAAATATATATTTTTAAAAAGAGGAGCAAAAATTACGTTTTAGATATATTTTTTTTTATTTAACAAAAAGTAAAGGATATATATGTTATATACATAAGTATACAAACTGTTGTACTCACATAAGTACCTACCTACATATTATTATAAAAAAAAAAAAATCAATTTCTCATTTTATATATATAAGTACGAGCATAACATTAAAGGTAAGTAGGCAGAAAATATTATAAAAAGAAAAATTTCAATTATTAAAGAAATAGCCGTAGGTGGATACAAAAAAAAAAGTAAGTAAATTCTTAAATAATGGTAAACGAAAAAGAAAAAATTATTATTTACCAAAAGAAATTCAGAAAAATCCACGTGTTGTTTCTTTTTCTTTTCACTCTCTCAATCAGGTGAAAATGTAGTGTATTTACAAGTAAATTTGTAAATAATCTACGTTTTATATTAAAAATTCTTGTATATATATATACCTCATACTTATATTATTATTATTTTGAATATCTACCCGCATACACATATATATGCAATATTATATATGTATATTAACTGCTTATGTATGTATTTAAATTAGTATCTACGAGTACATTATAAAAGTGTAAATTCTTATTATAAAAAAAAAAAAACAGATGTTCTTCAATTATTTTTTATATTTCCCACCTCTTATAGGCTTTAGATTATTTCATATATAAATGTAAGTATAGATAATAGTAGCCTAAAAATTATAAATTTAATATGTATAAGTAATACAAGTGGGCTGAAATTTGTATTATACGCAATATATGTAGATATTCCCTTAACTACTCAAATTTACTTAAATATTTAAATTACAATAATAGAATTTGTTATATACATACATATATGAATACAAGTATGTATATTCAAATAAGTAGGTAATTAAATATTATATAATTATATAAGTAGGAGCTGATAAAATTTAATTCAAATTTGAACACCTTTATAAACCCTTATAATATTCTTATATTAATCTAATTGTATTCTGATAAGAAGTTTTATTATTTTGGTAAGTATGAATTTTTATAAGAAATTTGGAAATCAATATCTAGATTATAATAATCTTCTTGACTTTTGATATTTGCTATTACTGATCAGAGAAAGAAAGAAACAAAATACTTATCAAGAACACTTAATTCGACAGTCGATGTAATAATAAAATAAGTAAAAAAGTTTCAGTCGGTATAAACCTACTGAATGAAGACAATCTGAGTTTAAAAATTAGTTTTTGAAATATTTAGAAATAACTTTGATTGCTAAATGGCAATTACTTGAACCTGTCAAACCACTTAATAGAAATTTCACGGATATTATGTCTGTCCTGTAAGTGAAAACACAACTGCCGAGTTTCATGAATCTAGCTTTATTATTTTTCCAAATATTTAAAATTAACTTTTGGAGTTGTAAGGCAGCTACCCGAACCAGTGCAGCCATTCCATTAAAATTTTCAGAACATATGTGATTAGACACATATTTGCATTATTTGATATTAATATTTCTAAAATTTGAAAAAATCTCTTTGAGTTATATGGCAGCTAACCGGAACAGTTGTCCGATTTGGTCCAATTACAATAGCAGTCGTTGTTGGCACAAAAGAAAAAACTTGTGAAAGCTTTGTGTCGATTTGAGTCATCGTACGATCGGACGGACCCACAGACAGACGGGCATGTCTAAATCGACGCAGAATTTTATGCTGAGCAACAATATATATATATATGTCAATACCGGAGACGACTCCTTCAAGTGGTTACAAACTCCATACCAAAGTGAATATTCAAGTGCAGGGTATAAAAATTTGGGCATTGAGAGAGAATGACAGTTGGTTAAAAGTAAAAAATTACGGTAAATCATGTTTAACATCACACTTTGTTTGACGGCAAAAATTAAAAATTTCTTTATTCTCATAATATTTACTGTTAGATTTTTTAAAAGAAAAATGGTGACAATTAATTTTTTGCAAAAATTCTGAACAGCGATCACCTGGTTTTTATTTTGATTATAATTTTTTTAACAAATTGTTAAATTTTTATATAAAGTCTGAGCTCTATCAGATAATTTCGTAAACAGCTGTAAGACTTTATCGTAGATTTGATCTAAGATTTTTTCATGTATGTAAACAGTACCTAAACAAATTTAATTTTTCTAAATTTTTAATCTTGTATTGTTTTGCTATGCATAAAAAACAATCCAGGGCCGTATTTTGTCACTTCGAGATATAAACTCAAATAAAATAATATCTGCTTAATTGTTTTCTAATTTAACATTTTATCATAGATAAAATACCGGTACCTACTTACGTACATACCTGACTACTCAATATATAGCAATGATTTTTCAATAGTTATGATTTTTCATAAAAGTCATAGACATTTTTTTAATAAAAATTGAATGATAAAAAAAAATTTACAATAAAATCTTAATTAGGGAAGAGATTAAATTATCAAGACGGAATAATTTAAAGAACAAAAAATTTTTAAATTATACTAACAAATTTTAATATTTAAAAAAAACCCTTAGTAACTATAGAATGTACACACGGTAATAGCACATTATTTAGTACAAACATTTTAACCACAATACAAATTATTTAAATTTATAATAAACATCAATTTGAAAGTTTAGATTTTTTACTTGATTTTTTACTAATTTTTTTTTATGTATGGTTACCACCACCCACCCACTTAGTTTGTATTTTGTATTCATGACGTATTGTAATTTAAACAAAACAAAAATTATTTCACTGTCAAGTTTCTTTTTATTATTTTGAATTGTTTTTATTATAGCCATTTGTTTGTTACTTACTCCACCAATTTCAATTATGAGTGAGTCATATAAATTTATTTTATATTGTTATTGTTCATTTGATTTAAGAATATAATATTGATGTGCAATTACTGAGATGTAAATTAAAAGATTCTAATATTTTTGTTAGATATTAAAATTTTTATAAAATTTAAAGTTTTGCTTTTTAATGTTAATTATTTAAAAATATTTGTTAGATAAATAATTATGCCATTTTTGAGCACATGATTTTACGATAATGAATCAATATAACAAATAAAAATTATATTGATTTTTTATTTTAAAGAATTTTCAATTCTAGAAAAATGAAGAGACTTAAACTTGTAATGGAAGTGTTTGTATGTATGTATACCTACGTAAACATAAATATAAGATTTATGTATAATGTTAGTATAGCAATTTGTATAGATTACATTTGACCTAATTTTACATACTTATGATTAAATCAATTAAATAATCAAGGTAAAAATATATTTTAATAAATAATTATAATATTTAAGATAATTGAATAAAATATAATGATTCACTGATGTTAATCTAAATTGAATTATCAACAACCGAATCGAATATAGAATGAAAATGGTTTAACCAACTAATTGGCAACCTACCTAGTTATACCTACAAATTTTCATAATATATTTTTTTGCACATGTGTATTTTTGTATATTTATATTTCTTATATAAAAAAATAAATAAGATATTAAAGAGCATTTAATTTGCTTAGCAACTTAATATCATAAAATTCTTTCTTATACAATTATTGCTAACGGTCTTTTATAATATGAACCAGTTCCGTTTTTATAATTAATTGCAATCATCTTCATCTTAATAATATTACATTTAATCTAAATAGATATATTTGCATGAAATTTAGTGTTGTCTGGTTACATTGTTGTAACACATTGTTTTGAGCATGAAGAACATTCATACATAGATAGATGTGTACGTCACATAAAGAATTCTTATTGATAATTTTTATTCTTTGGATTTGTAGGTAAACTGGTTTACATATGTATGTATTTTGCAGGTTTCAGTTATATAAAATGAAATAATGTGATTTTTAAGTAAATATATAGCGGTTAATTATTATTATTTTTTAATTATCTTATTGTACTATTTTCAATCTTATCATTAATTTTGTCTTTTATACATTTACAATTATTTAATGGATAAAAATTTTTAGAGACGTAGGCATCCACTTACCTGCTTTTTATTTTTTAATAATTTTTTTTTATCTAATCTTTAATTGTAGTCTTATTTTGTTAGCTTTCTTACTAGTAATAATTACACACCGAAACACAATATATGTATATGTACCTATGTACGTAAGTATTAAGGTAAAAATAATTTTATACCTCGTATTTTAAATATACATACGTGTGTATGTATGTAAGTATGGAAAAAAATAAAATGCGATGACGAATTTTTTTTTATATCATAAGACAAAAAACAAGAACGAAAAAAGAAAAAAAGCACGAAAACGATAATAAAAAAATTTCAAAAAATCAGAGGGAAACGACTTATGAAATTACAAAAAAAAATGTTCAGACTTGAAAGATTTTTTTTCACCGACTTGTTCTTTTTTGCTAGTAAAATTGTTTCGTAGAAAAATTTCTTATATTTTTAATATTTCACATAAATTATTTAATTTTTAATAAAAAAAAGCACAATTTTTTCATTTATTTTTATTATTTCACTTAAAATTCTTATAAAATTTTTGTAATTCCTATAGAATTATTGTAGTAATCCTTATTGAATGAAATTTCAATGCTTGTTTGATATTTTTTCCGCGAATTCTACTAATTTGAAATCCGTAAATTTATTAAACTACTAAAAAAAAAAACTTTTGGGGGGCCTTTTAAAACTTCTGCTATATTTTTGACATTCAGATACATTTGACATTTTATTTGACAATAGCAAATAGAGATGGAACATCTAAAGAATGTGTAACAATAAATTATAATTTTAATGTAAGGATTTTGACACTCGATCAGTGAAGTTTGAAGTATAGAGTGTGAATGAGAAAAAAATGGATGTTTTAAAAAAATCAATTTGCATCAATTATGATTTGCTTTTAAATCAATTTACAACTAGTCCCAAGTTTGAAATCAATTTACAACTATAATAATTCGAATCTCCCAAGAAATAAGTTACATGAAAAATATTGAAATATGAAATAATGTAGCAATCATGCTTTCAGCATAAATTTTTATTTGTGTTGAAAGTAAAATTAATTAACTAAAAATGTAAAATTGACTATAAATTGAAATAAAATGTAAATTCTATATTATATTAATTTTTCATTACTGCGAGAATCAACATAGATAATATGAGCTTCATATTGATTGAGAATTAGAAACTAATTAGATACGACTATGTATCGAACGATGTAGGAATTATATGATGTGTAGATACATATATAGATATTGATGGCTGAAAATATTTTTCCGAAATTTTAAAATAATCTCAAAATAAGTAAAAATAAGGCAAAAATATCAAATTTTCCATTCTAAGTGAAATACCAAGAAATAATTTTAACATCCAGCTTAAAACAGAATAAGAGCGATTTACTGTGACGAAATGTCAAAATACATAATTGAGTTAGCGGGTTATTTGACATCATCTGTTTCCAAGTGCGTTTGAGATTTATTATATGCAAAATACATTTTTTTAAAAAAAATTTTAAATTGGTTATATTATAAATTTATTATTGTAATTTGTCGAATAAACTTGTATTGCAAATATAAAATCATTGTGTATTAACTATTTTGAAAGAAATATTTTATTGAAGACACAAACCATAATTATTAAACTTGTATCAGCGCTATCTATGTTTTTAAGTATTATTTTACTAAATAATAACATTTTCTTGGGTACCATTTATCCATTACTAAGTTTTGGTATATTCCGATAGGTGACTTGGTTATTTGTAATATTTAAATATTAAGCAAAATTTGAAACGTATTTTAAATATAAATAATTCAAAATGTTTAATTCAATTTGTTTTCTTGAATCAATGTCTCTGGAACTAATCTGGATTTTTAACATTAAAGGCCTAGTCGTCTATCTCGCTATTTTACTCGGAAAATGAGAAGGATGTGAGTAACTATTATATGAGAAGAGTCATTCGGTATGGCGTATTTCGTTTTTTTCTAAAATGTATACAAAATTATTCACTTTGTTTTTGAAAGTTCAGTCGAAAATTTTAGAAAAAATGCAAAAATTCAATTGAAATAATTAGTAATCTTATTGGAAAAATGAAATTAGAAAAACTATAATATAAAAAGTGAATAAAAAGTGAGTAAAAAAAGCGAGATACACGATTACGAGTTACAGGCTGTAAATATTTGCTTAAGTTAAAAAAGATGGAAGGACCTTTCTTGTCACATAATATGCTTGATCACGTATTTAGATTATTTGAATAGTCTTAGCATATTTACCATTATTTAAATTGATTGTTTGTTTTTTGCTGATGCTTAAAATTTACCGTGCCATTCATTTGACATTGTTACTCTATCTATCTATCTATACATACATACATACATACATATTTGTACAAATTTTTATTGCACTCATATTTTAAATACGTTTTCCATTTAAAAACTTAATAAAGGAAAATTTATGGTTTTAGATGAATAGAGAATGATGATTGCAAATATCATCTCACTAATTGATCATAAAATTTATGTAACAATAAAATTTAGTAAATAAATATTTTGACAAAAAAAAATCATTAAAAATTTTGTCGTAAACATTTTTAAATTGAATAAAATAATATTTTCCCGCACAAGTTTGGAAGTTGAACACCATAAGTAAATATTTTTACTGCTAATTGAATGGAAAGTGTCAAAATTTTGTTACAATTTTTAGGTTAGGTTGCATTTTAAAAATTGAAATATTTACGATTGTGATCCGACCATGAGAAATGATTTGTTCCAAAACTTAATTGGTATTCCGATTGAAATTTTTAACATGATTTAGTTTTTTGATTTCTTAATATTTTTTAAATATTTAGGTAAATATCTTAAAAATTTCTGTATATATTTATGCTGCTAAGTTTAGTAACAAAATTTTGACAATATATTGAAAGGAAAATACTAAAATATGATGATTACTTTGTGAAAATTTTACAAAATTATTATAAAATTTGTGATGAATGTTTGTAAATTTAAAGAATGGATAATTATTTGTATACAACTTTATGTTTTCCTATGAATTTTGTATAGGTATATTAATGTGTATTCCATAGTGAAACTATGGGAATAACGATAAACGGTGAAAATGTTTGATAATAAATCTGAAATATTCGAGATAATTATGATTGCATATAGAGAGATAAAATCATAAATGAAAATGTTTCTTCAATGTTTTAACTGTAATCGCAATAAATTAAAGATGACCGCGTAAAAATAAAAACAAAAGGTATACTTAAGAGCCAAATTAAACCACCCACATTATGCTTGGATGATTTTTCTCTTATTTTTGTTTTTTTTTTTCTTATCATCTTTATAATTATTTTTTGTGGATTTCTTATTTATTTTTGGTAGCGATTTGAGTTTAAATGCAGACAGATATAACCGTAATATAAATTTAATAGGATATTTATAATTTCTTGTTTCATTTATAATATTATGTGTATGTGCGCCATTTATGTTTTGAGGGTACAAAATAATAAGAAAAGGAGACAAGAGTGAATTCAGCTCAGAAGCGGTATAATAATATAATATGTAATATGTATACGAGTATTATATATATTATATATTATATATATATAATATGTCACCTCAATAACGATTTATCAAAATTTACAGATTTTTTTTACAAAAATTTCAGTTGAATGATTTTGTAAATGACGTTTCCCGGACTAGTTATACGGGATAACTACATAATATATGCAATCTTAAAATTTCTATAACTTTGGAATATTGTTTTTGGATAAATGAACAATTATTATTAACTAATTATAATTATAGTAATTCCGAATGGATAATGTGCTGAAATTTTGTGTAAGTAACTCAAAGTTGACTTGAACAACTCATTATTGCTTTTCGTTAATTTTTTTTTTAATTATGAATAGGTGTATCGTATCATATAAATCAAAAACTGAATCATAGTACATGTATATGTGTGCACTATACGAAAAAATAACCTTGAAAATATTATCAAATACTATAAGCATAACTCTACATACATACATACATACAAAACGAGTGTTGCTCTAATCTCTGATAATTTGTTGGATTAAAAAATAAAGAAATTTTTTGTTATTTTTTTTTTTTGTAGGATAATCAGCACTGCATGGTGTGTGCATATTATTAAAAGCGTTTATTTTTTTAATAAAAAAAATCAAAAAAGTTGAGAAGTAGAGGTGTCAATAAAATGTAAAAAAGTTAACCATTTTATTAACTTTATATATTTAACAGTTATAAATAAAATATTTATGAAAAGCCAGAAAAAAAAGTGCTTATAAAGCTTATGGAAATTAATCATCTTAAAATTAACTAAAAAAGATCACGATCCCTGATGTCGAACAAGAAAAAAAACTAAACAAAAAAAAATTTATTTTTTATTCCAAAACAATTTGACCGCACGTTTTTAAAAGAGAGTTTTGCAGTTTAAATTAACAATACAATCAGTTTTTTTTGGAAACTATTTTAAAAAATTAATGAATTCAAATTACAAACGTTGTAATCATAATTTTGTTGCTGGAAGCGAATTTTAATGGTGTTAAACGAATGATTAAGATAACAATTATTTTTCCATTATTAAAATTTTTTAATTATATACTATGAAATTTAATTACATGTACATAAAGTAACAAAAATTTGAATACATAGGCTTGAATAAAACCTTAAATGATAATGAACATTTATTTAGGTTATTCACTATTAATCTCGAATTTTTTACCAATTCGCGTTAAATACACTGTTAAATAGTACTTATACATATACATATATGCAAAATATTTTAATTTTCTTTAAATTATTTTCAATTCCAAATTGAAAATTGCGAAAAATTATTTAATAATTAATTTCTTGGCTAATATAATTTATTTATTTTTCTTGAGTATTTTATTTTTTACGTAATTAATGTCTGGAAGTAGGATATTGAATAAAATCTAAGGCTCTTAATTCAGGACATTGTAATGATCAAATTTTATTTCTTGACTAGAATAATTAATTCAGACAATCGTAATTGAATTTTGGAAGATAAATTGTTAAAGAAATTGATATTGCATATTAAAAATTTAAAATACTACAAAACCCACTAAAAATAAAGGCTACAACTTTAAGTTTCTAATGTTTTTGGAAAAGAATATTTTTATAGAAGACAACCAATATGTTTGCACCATGAATATGATTGTATTCCATAGTTTAGCTATGTGGTCTGCAAAATATTGTGTATATTATTATTAATGTCATATCATATAAATTAAGCTACCAATGCTTAATAAAAAGCAATTGAAAAAAATCATATGTAACATGAATAGAAGAATTTATAAATTCTTTCTTTTTATAAGCTTTATGTAGTCTTGCATTGCATATAAATTGATGCCATTGAAACATGATTATTCACTTCACCAAACGAGTATTAAACTGCAATATAGTGAATAAGATGAAACATTATATAACAGATATATTCTTATTCATTTTTCCAAGTCTGTAAAAATCTTCTATTTGATTAATTTCCATTACTTCAATCTTATTAAATCAATCATTCTTGAAATTTCTCAAATTAAATTGTGAACAGTATGTCACAGTCAGTTTGGATGAAACTGTGCCATT